ATATGATAGATAACAAAAAACAAGGTCAAAAAGTGTCCTAGTTTATATTAGATATGACTTGAGGAATAAACATTGAAGGTGTCAGGTGGCCAGGATGTATGGGTTTCACTCCTCTCCATCCTGGATACATGTAGGTCGGTGAGGTCAAATCTGTGTTTTCATTGTAAATGTGTCATGAACTAGGGCTTCAACTAAATAAGAAAGTGAATGAACGTTGAAGTGTAGAACTGGACCAAGGGAACTGTTTCATAGAGTACAAGCTATTGTTGGGCCTTCCTGATTATTGAAACCAAATTCCTGCCCTGTTAATCTCTAAACATTAATAGTATCTAAAAGAATAATATCCATATAACAATGTATTTCTAATTGTGGATGTTTTTAGAAGTCAAAAATCATTTTATATTCAAGATTGTTGTCTGCAGGCACCTGACTTCCTCTCGATATGTGGTTTTGTTACCTTTTGAAATTAGGTCAACAACCAGTGTGATCTCATCTGCAAACTCAGTAAAAAGTGAGATGCACAGTCATAAGTATAAAGGAGGTCATGCATGAGGAAAAGAGCACATGTCTGTGTACTACTATAAGATTGATAAAAATCAAAGTAGAAACACTAATTAAAAATACAAATAAATATATGGAGGCCCATGTGAGAGCTCCAAGTAATAATATAAGAAAGGAAGACCTTTATGTTTAATTAATTGTGTCAGTGCTTGGTATATTTGAATGTGCTATTTGGCCTTGTTCACTGTGTTGCAAATGTGTTGCAGTGCCAGGTGACATTAGCATTATACTGAGCCACAGCATTAACTCGGGAGCAAAAACACTAGCCAGCCAAGTCAAATATGTATTTTGTGCATCGTCACATACTTTAGGGCCAGTTACAGTTTGAGTCATTTTTTTTGTTTTAAATTACTCATTCTGTTTACTTTGCAGTACTCTGTTTCAAGTGCGTTTTACTCACTTGTAAATTGTATTCAAAAAATGTAGTGCTAAATTAAGCCATGATTGTTATCATGTGTATGGCTATAAACATTTATGTAAGCAAACAAGAATAGATTTACACTTTGTAAGACAACATACAGTATCTCCCATGAACCGAACACAGAGACCTCAAAACTTAGTACACAACACACAATAACGGTCACATTAAATGCATATTTTGGAGCATGAATGGATCCTTTTTAGTAGAAAATTAACTCCAGATGTCACAGAACAGCAGGTCACTATAAAATGCAACTAACAAAATCCCCCAGTGTATGATGGGAACATCAGTATCAGAAAGTTCAGTAGGTTTTACTAAATCTTATAACTTTGATAGTTACTCAAAAAAATCCTGCACTTAAATAAGTAAAATATACTTATAAGTTCAAGCTTTAGGTAGGCTGAAGAATGCTGTGCAGCTAAAACGGGTAGATCACTTTGAATTTGTTTTTAATGATTTAGCAAATGCTGTTAATTAAAGAGTATTTCAATACAAATATGGCTGCCATCGGAGCATCCTGCACATTGGTGGTGTTTGAAGAGACTTGAGGTTGGACTTGAGATTCCCAAAAAAAAAGCACTAAATTAAACAAAAGATTTGAATTCTTGCCTGAACTAACTTGTTCAATGTAGAAATTGCATTTTTTCCCCCGTAGAATTAATACCACAGAATCATTTTTATCAGTGTCCATTAAAATTCATTAAATAAAATAATGAACATTGTAGCATTTTTCATGATGCTGTATAATATTGCTGGCTAGACTCAAAGATATGTTTGTTTACTGAGGAGTTTTTGTACATAATTTAGGTTAGTACAACAAGACTGAACAAGGCCATTCAAAAAAAATATTCAAAGGAGCTAAAGCAACATAATTCTTGGACATCTTGTCACAATTTCAGTCCACTTAAATTTGTAAAGTGGTTGTAAAAATGCTTATCACGAAATCTTTTTGTGTAGGCCGTTAGCTACAGACTAGTGAATTTCTAGTTGCCAGCCCAGAACGCTTCTCATGAAACTGCAGATAGTTCATGTTAAACTTTAAAGGTCACGTTCTTCATGCTTTTTTGAAGCTTTGATTATGTTTACAGTGTGCAATATAACATGTGTTCATGTTTAGTGTGTAAAAAAAACAGTATTTTTCACACAATTTACTTATCTGTAATACGGCAGTTTTCACTGTCCAACAAACGGCCCGATGACTTCCTTGTTCTATGAAGTCCCTCCTTCAGAAATACTCCTAACGAGTTCTGATTGTGTCAGTGGTTCCTGTGTTGTAATCGCGCGTTACCCGGAAAGGTCACGCCTCTTTTTTATCATAAATTGGAGATGCATGCGCATCTGAAGTGCTTCTTCTCCGTGGGAGCGCAACAAGACCACGCCCCCTTTTTATGTATTCCTCTGGGCGGAGATTAGTCAAAAAACTGTTCTAGTTACTTCATTAAAAAAAGGAAGTAGAGGGATGTAGTCCAAACCAGCCGCCCGCTGTAGGCTTTGAAAGGGGACTTCTGTTAAATAAAATATCTCGCTAGGCATTGAACTTTGAACTTTATAATTTTACAGGTATTATTTATGCTCTAACAGCAACATTACACACTGACTAAAGTTTGAAATATGGAATCGCGAAGAACGGGACCTTTAAACTTTAACCCCATTTCACTGAGCCTTTAGACTAAAATGCATGTTTGAGCAGTTTTAACTGAAAACAAGTTCCACTGACATATCTTAAAAGTTTTTTTTTACAATTGCTAACGAACACATTTTGCAAACTAGGCTGGTTTTATCAAAATACTTAATACAATTTACAATACCACACACCCAAACATGAAAATATCTCAAATATCCTGCAAAATGAATCACTGCAACCAAAACTACATAGCTTTATCCAAATTTGCACAAAATGGCACACACTTCATTCATATTAGGCTTTTGTCTAAACAACTGTTTAGACAAACAATCTAAACAATTTTTGTCCAGCACACTGTTTGGGCATAAATTAAAAGCACTCTCATCTTTAGTATGCAATTATACTAAAATAGTTCAAATTGTTGAAAATTCTTCAGACAGCTCACATGCACATAAATGTTTGCATACACACACACACACACATGCTGTTGAAACATTTATTTTTGGATTTTTCACCAAACAAGTCAGTGCAACATATAAACCAGAGATGTATTTACATTGGACTGAAAAATGCTGAAAAAGTTTAAGTTAAATTAGCTTTTTCTGTGTGTGCCATTTTGAATTGCAAAATGTGTGTAAAGCAGAAAATGTGTTTAGACTTCTGAGACTCGAGAAGAGGTTTTGCTCTCTGTGCGTCAGTTTAAAAATTTGTGTTATTTTAATGTGTTAGCAATTGTGTCAGAAAAAAAACTGTAAAATGTGTCACTTCCATTGTTTTGTTTAAGATGAAATAAGATGCACACCAGTAATATTGTTTTCTATGGCACGTTTATAAAAGCTACTTAAACGCCCCAATTTACTAAGGCCTAATCCTGGCTTGATCTAAGACCTTTCTGTGAAACTGGGCCTAAAAGTGTTGTTGGAGATTTAGAAGAGTTCATGTTGTTCATTTTATGTGGTTACCATTCTGCAGAAGATTGGAGATCGGAAAGAATCGGTTGTGGGTGGCTGCAGCAGTGTTGCTACTGTATGGTGTGTATTGTTTCACTTTATGAGAAATAACTGCAACTATAACATAAACTTTATGATTTCTTGCTCATTTTGTAAAACCTTTAGCATCCTGTCATAGTACTAGTACTAACGGTCACATTCAAAAGTAGTTCTTTGGCTTCATTTGATTCTGTGGTTCAGTGGCCTGTGATTCCACATTGCAAATGTGTTTTCTTAACATAAACTTGCCATATAGACTAAACATAAATTCCTTGGTAACAGAAAAATACGTATTCATTGACATGACAAATGAGCTATTCTCATTTCAGATTAAAATAAAATCACAAATCAAGGACCATTTTTACATTTTGTAAGTGTTTCCTCTGTACCTGCATTTCAGTTAATGTCATTGCTTTTATTAATGATAGTAACATAAACCATTGAATCTGTTCTTGTTCATTGTAATGCATATGACTTTCATTTTCTGATCTTGATGGATAATCAACATTTACATTACTGCTTTGACTTTGTAAAGAATTGCAGTACTGATGGGTACCCAGAATGCTTTGCAACTCAGTGAGTTCTGACCAGTTTTGACCCTGAAAAGTCAGGGTTTGCATGCGTGTTCTTTATTAGTTAAAGGTCCAGAATTAGTATTGCATGTTATGTCACCATTGTTGCGCTGTCTATAGCTCCAAGAGTGCCAGCTCGCCAAATTAGCAGAGGTTTTGTAGTCAGTAAATGCATTTAGTAGATACTCATCGCCATATTTTTGTCTTTGTCTCAATAATATGAGATTATAATCAACAGTAACATAGGAATTTTCTTTCACCACATAAAGTCAATGCATTCTCATCCCAAGGCGGAAAGGAAAGCGTCATCTAACTGATGCTAAAGGGTGCCTAAAGCGTCAGTTAGATGACGCATGGTCAAAAGCGTCAGTGACGCCGATTCGATGACGCCTTGGGATGAGAATGGGTTGATAAAGTTCAGCCAAAAACATGTAAGAAGCCTTTTTTAATGCAGTTAACACTAGAACGGCTATGACGGTCATTTTGACCGTTTTGAATTTTATAACGATAAAGGGTGCCATGTGCGTAGTATAGCGCCGTTTTGTCATATAGCGTTCTATGTGACGCTAAAGGATGAGAACGGGCTGGTTTTGCACTATGACATGAACAGTGAACACAAGCAAATTGTACCTAATTTTTTATGTAAGTACATAGTAGTTAACGACATCTAATATATAGTGACCATAAAACTTGAATCCATTTTCATTCGTTGTAATTTGATTACCATTTAGTTCAAGTAATCTTAATGGTTAATCAAGGTTCCATCAAGTATAACCATAGATTTATAGATTTACATAGATGTGGCTGTGTTTATAATAGTCAGAAGCCCAGAGTTGGTTATTTATGCATTTTATTTTCATATATTTTGCACAATACAGTCATTATTGAATGAAAGTATGCCATTGTAAAAGGAAGCACTTAAGTCCACTTAATTGTGGATGTAAATATTTTGCTAAAAATGAAAGCTATATAGATAGAATCTTCTAGATGTAATCCAGCTTCAAAGTAATTAAAAAAATATATTTTTACATAATAAATGTAGAATTCATTAAAATAAAGAGAAAATAAACATGAACTACATCTAAGTTGGCGGCATATTCGTATTGTATCCTAAACTAGAATAGTTGAGCCCATATTAAAGAAGCATATAAACACATTACATTCAAATGTGTATACGGTATATTATTCTTAAAACCATAAGCACTAGAGCATAACTGAGGGAGGTTACATAATTCCTTGATCATCATTTAACAACAACGGTGCAAATCGAATGGTCTTTTGAATGTGATGCAACATTTTCTGTTGTCTTCGGTGAAGGCACGGTGATAAATCCAACTGATGAAAAACGACTTGGATTTGTGAGACCTGAAAGACAAATAATAGACCAATTTTAATTCTTCAAACAAAACAGCACATATTTTACAGAGTTTACTAATGAAATATTGGGTCTCATTCACTAATGATTGCATACAAGTTGCGTACTTACTGTATGTTTGGAGAAAATATTCTCAGAAAATATGCAGCAAGATCTTCGAGTAAAGCCATGTGTGCCATTAACAACCAGTTGACTTGATACTCATGAAATATATTTTATAAAGATCAAAAGTATAGAACCTATCCCAGTTTGTGCACTATTTTTGTTAAATAACTGTAATATAACTATACTTTCAACACATTGTCATCCCAAGACATCATCTAACAGACGCTTTTGACCATTACGTCAACATCCGCCGTTTTAGGGTACCCTTTAACGTCAGTTAGATTACGATCCTAGGGCGTCATCCAACTGGCGGTTTACATTTAGCGTCAGTTAGATGACATGGGTAGGTTTAGGTCTGAGGTAGGGTTAGGATTAGATAGCGTCATCTAACCGTCGTTAAAGGGTACCCTAAAACATCAGATGTTGACGTATGGTCAAAAGCGTCAGCTATATGACGTCTTGGGATGAGAACGGGCTGATCATTTAGTTCGCCGGGGGTGTTTACACCAAGTGCAAATAGCCTAGCTTGTTGTCAGAGGCTATTTAAACTAACTCCGCCCATTATAATTGAGCCAGACAAAATGATAACAGGAGCAGTGGTGTGGAGAGTGAGGTGGATGGCAAATCTCCCTTTTACGAACACATTCCTCTCCGTTTTCACATCACACATCAGCTCAGAGAAGCGTTTATTTTAAATAAAGATTGCGAAAATATTCAAATAGTGGAAATATAGTGCCTAACAGGTATTAAGTGATTATCTGATAAAGTAAGGAGTAAGTGGCGGGTAATCAAGTGTACTTTTTTGTTTTTATCATATAGCCAACCTTGTTCTGTTTTTGTTTAGTCAATAGTCGACAAAATGTCTGAGCGCTTTAGTCAATGAAACCCACATTTTTGTCATGCTGCCTGCATAACGGTAAAATTGATAATCCTGATTATTTTGCTCAAAAATATAAATACAACGATTGTCTTCAAAGGTAGCGCAAAACACATTTATTTAACAACCACAATCGCAAATATAGTCGAGATCTATGATTGGATTTATTACAGTTTATCACTGAGGTTTGATTAATTTTTTTTTTTTAAGCAGAACATCTCATTGGAGATTGATAAACTCCTCAGTTTTCAGGTTATCCGGTATCCGCACTCCAAATCGCGTGTGCGCATGGTTGCCAGATGGCAAAGATTAAGCAAAAACTTTGTTCTTTCAACAGATCAACAACCAATTCTTGAAATCTGGCAACTGCAAGCAAGAAAGCATTTTTTGTTTTTTTTGTTTTACAAAAACAGTAATTTTGGTCAAGTGTTTTTTTTTTTTTTTGTACTTTGTTTAATTTACACTAGTATAGGGTATATAGAACTTTCAAGACAGAGACAAGTAATGTCTCAATAAGATGGCATCCATTAATGATTTTAATAAGTATAATCCTATACTCTGAAAATGTTATTTTATTACATACTGTTTAGTAAAATATACCACAATACACTGAGGTGGCAAATAGTATCTGTGTAAGTAGGATTTAACATTATTTGACCTTCGTTCAAAGAAAATACTTTTTCGTTAATGCAAATGAACACAATGCAAATAGCCGCTGTTTTATTTGAATGCAAGTTATAAATGTTATCTTAAACTTATAATAAATCTAAATGCTTAACTTAAAAAAAATCATAATTTCTGCATGAAAATGTTTTTACGAACAAATGTTAACACGGTTAGTGAATGAGACCCATTTTCACAAGATATAATGTCGTCACTCACGTTAGCTCATCCATGCTTTGAAAGTCACCAGGACGTTGAACACAACAGTCTTCAGAAAGAGAATTCTCAGCCAAAAGAGGCCCAATGACAAGAAGTTGATTTTTTCATCTGCGGAAATAAAAAAACACTTAGTCTTCAGGGTTTATCATGTATTTTGCACAATCCAGCATGTACGGTCCAGCCCAGTTTTCAAATTTGTTTAATAACTTAACTTACCTTTTTCTATATCACCACTTTGACTGGATGCTCCTTTACAGCTGCCTGAATGTGAAATAAAGTAGATTAATCTAATGCAACAAAATATTTTAGGAATTAAGATGACTTTTTTTATTGTATGTGGTAATTCCTACCTTTTTCTACGCACTTGTCTTCATCTCTAAAGTCAAAGGTACTGTAGTAGTTTTGGTAATCTTTGCCTGTATATCTCACTGTAGGGTAACTGGAATTAAATGCTGAATGGTCCGTGAAGTCAGTTGCCAGACACGACGAGTCTTCAAGTTTGTAAACCTCTGGATCTTTTCTTTGATCTGTAAAAAAATATAAGAAAAATTCAAACACATTAGTTTCACAGACATGAAGTGTATGTCTGATGCAGACAAAAATTTGCAAATTACATTTCGTCATATGTGTCACAGCTTTTATGGCAGCTTTACTGGATTAGAAAGTACATTCGCTGACAATAAACATTGTAATTGATATATGTGAAAACTGAAAAGCATTTTCATTCAGTTTTTTTTCCAGACCGACATTTCAAATTAAAATGAAAAACAATATTATTGATGACTCAATTAATACAATATAGAATAGAATAGTATATTTGACACCAAAGTCCTTAGTACACATTTTAAATATTGATCATATGACAAATTCTCACCTCATATCGAAAGTAATAACTGATTTTTCTAGGCCCACAGGCTGATACCTCACCTCAAAAACTCATTCAGTCTTTCAATGCGTAAACCAATTGTTTATTATATATTATGAAATGTAAATTTCACATTAACAATATCATACTAAAACATATATTTAAGCTATTAGCACATAGGACTGTCTAGCTTTGTGTTAGTTGAATTTATACCACAATGATCAAAAGGCCAACATTAATCAACTTAAACATGGAAACTTTTTTAATCTTATTCAAGATCCAAACTCTTTTTTTTTGATTATACTGTATTTCTGTATTTCATTCTTTCTTTATTTGCTGTAATGGGTAACAATTACAATTCCTGCTACTAGTCCAAGCTGTGACGCTTTTATTATTAGAATATTTTATCATTAGTTTAATGTTTAAGTTAAACTCGAATAAATGTCAATTAAATGTAACACATGTTTTAACTGTAAAATCTGTGAAAAATCTTTTTTTAATTAGCATTACTAAAATTAACTTGTGCTTAAATTATAACAAAAAAATCTTATCCATAGGTTGTTACTTACTTGTGTGCACAGATAAGTGTGTCCCTTTCCCAAATATGATTTTGTTAGCAATGTTAGTCACACAATGATTAGCACGCGTATCATAATCCTATACATGTGGCCAAATTTACACATGTTTGATGCTCTGCTATACGCACTATAGTTTCTAACAAAATCAAAACAATATCAAATTTTGTTTATTTTAGAATACAAAAAGATAAAACTAACCAACTTAAAAGAAATATGTGCCATTAAGATTAGAAAGTACATTTTTACTGAAAGTTTATACTAGAATTATGAATCTAGGCTGTCAAATGTGCAGCTGATTGATTATAATGATGATCATTTTTTTCAATTTACCTATTTATCTATTTCGCCACATAAATCACTGAATTTATGAAACATGATTTAGAGTTACTACCAAAGAAAACATAAATTGTTGTTCATTCAGCGTATTCAGATTATTTTCAAATGTTGTTTTAAGAAGTGACCATACATATTTAGAAAGTCAAACCTCTCTTTGTTTGGTTTAACTCTATTTTTAAATGCCCGATCAATCTAGACAGTTACACAACATTATCACAATTCTTTGGTTAAAATATATTATTCTCTTACTTGATTGTACTGTTAATTGTGTCCCTCCTCCAAAGACTATTTTAACACTAGAAGTCACACAGATTGATATATCAGTACGAAAACCATTTGGATGGTAAATGTATACTGGATAAAATAGTTAAAACAAAGTAATTATAAATTTCCGGTAATATCTATAAGAAATATATATGGATAGTATCCTTAAATTAAAGATTTGTACTACTGTACTGATTCTTATTACTGTAATTTATTTAGCTAATTATTTATAGCAATTCTTTATTTATTGTGTAAAAATCATATTATTACATATTTATTTGCAGTATTGTGTGACAAAGGTGGAAACTCATGCAGTTTTTTTAAAGCTCATTATTAAATTACTTAATTTCCTAATGTCATTGTTTTTAATCTGATGTTCAGATGAATTATTTTCAAACTAAAGTGAGATTTTACTTACTTGTCTGTACTAACAATTGAGTTCCCTTCGCAAATATAATTTTGCCAAAGTTGTTAGTCACACAATGACTATCAGTGTTATAAATACTTCAATAAACAGCAAGTCAAAACTTCAGTGTTCATTTAAATAGTTAGAGCCACTCAGTAATGCGGTTAAAATATTTGTGGCAAATTAATAATTACAAGTGTATATATAATTATAAGTGATGACATTAGTTTCGTAATTTGATATTACATTAAATTCTATTAATAATTAGTCACTAATGTCTGTGAATGAATTTCAAACATTTGAAAACGTCTGAAAAATAATTTGGTGGTACTATAAATTTAATACTTAACGACACTCAAATTAGATACCAAGTCCTATGAAAACAATATGCTATTATTATATTATAATATTTGATTGGTTGTACTCACTTGCTTGTACATAGAGTTGTGTCCCCTTCCCAAATAATATTTTACCAATATTGTTATTCACACAGTGGTTAGTAGTGGCATAATAACTTCCATGAGGACAACCTCCATCATGTTAGATTTACCTTCAACTTAACTATAACGTTTTACTTCTACATTAAAGGGATAAATAAAGAATAAAAAGTGCAACTTTTATATAAATGTGCATCCTATAAAGTACTTTACATACACACACATCTGTTTCTTTAATGTCCTCAAAGTTTTTAGAGGCCATCTTTTAATGTGCTTGACATTCAATATACTGAATATATTGACCAATTAGTGAAAAAAGATAAAAACAACTTAATGGAATTTATTTTTATTATGGTCCCTGCCCCAAATATGACTTTGTTGTTGAACCCAGTATTCACACAATGGTTTTGTCTTGCACTTTTATAAGCCCATTATATTTGTCAGTTTACTTTTTTGGTTTAGTAACAACAAAGTTCAACGTCACTGAATGGAATTGTTTGACATGATAAATCTATTGTAAACACAATCAAAGTCACATTTGGTTGATGTAATAATGAGTTTACACAGAACAAATTATCCTTGAATTAAAGATTCTTACGGTACTATCATGTTTATAGAAATGATTTAATCCAATTAATTGGACTACTGTGTGACAAAGGTGGACACTCCAGTAGTTCTCATGATTTCCTTATTTCGTTTTTAATCTGATGTTCAGATGAATTATTTTAAAACTAAAGTAAGGTTTTACTTACTTGTCTGTACGAACAACTGAGTTCCCTTCGCAAATATAATTTTGTCCAAGTTGTTAGTCACACAGTGACTGTCAGTGTTATAAATACTTCAAGAAACGGCAAGTCAAAACTTCGGTGTTGATTTTGATGTCAGAGCCACCCAGTAATGCAGTTAAAATATTTGTGTAATATAAATTGCATAGATTTAGTTTTTAGAAAACAGAAATAAATATTGTAAGTAAATAAAAAAGCTGTGCAAATCTCATGTACAGTACAAGTCTACCTGTTCAATCAGTGGATTAGTGAAAAGAGCTTGAGTAATATCAATTAGAATAAACTTTAAATAATCCATAACTTACTGGATAACACAATGAGACGATTCCCTTTCCCAAAGATCAGTTTGTCTCTATTTTGAGTCACACAACTACAAAGCTCAACACAGAAATACATTGGATACTCTTTCCTCTGATCGGCACAAAGTTTTCCTTGATCGGCACAGAGTACAAAGTTTTGTAATTTGACATTACAGTAAATTATATTAAGAAATAGATTAATAATAGCTACTGTCTGTGGATGAAGTGAAATGTCTGAAATTTGGTGGAAGAGTAAATTTAGTATTAAATTTCACGACACTTCTGTCTCTTAATGTCCTCAACATTTTTAGAGTGGCCATCTTTCAACGTGCTTTACAAATAAATATATTCTGAATATACTGAACAACTAATAAAGATAAAACTAACTTGAATTTATTACTATTTTGGTGTTCAACCCAAATATGACTGTTGTTGAGCACAGAATTTACCAAATGGTTTTTATTGGCATTTTTATCCTTTTCTATTTGTCAATGTTCTTTTCTTTTTGGTTCAGTTAGCCCAAAGTCCAACGTCACTGAACAGAAGTTTTTGATAGTTTACATGATAAATCTATTGTAATGCATTGTGTTTACATTGTGATATGTCATTCTCATTTTACAATACAATCAAAGTCACGTTTGGTTAATGAAATAACGGTTTTATCACAGAATGAATGTAATACTAAGATTAGAGAACAACTTACTGCTTAGTACAAGAAGTTTTGTTCCCATCCCAAAGAAAAGTTTTTGTCCAGCATTCACACAGCCATTGGCCATATACTAAAAACTAGCAATATCCTGATATCATAAACACTGCAAGCTATTCTGTCACAATCGCTCATAAGATTTAGTGTGAAAACTTTAAAGAAGGAAAGACATCCATTTATATCAAAGTTTAGTGGTAGAATAAAAATCTGTATTTAACGGTTATGTTTCAAAGACAAAAGAATGGTTGATGTTTCTATAGTTAACAACAAGCATTGCGTTTTGAATGTATTTATCTGGGAAATAAGGGTATTAAATTATGATCAGGAGATCACTGTTAATGTATTGTTCTAACCATGAAAAGTATATTTCATAAAAAAGCTATGGGACATTTGAGTTAACTGAGCCACACTTACTTGAAAACACAGTTAGTTTAGTGCCTTTTCCAAATATAATTTTGTATCCGCCTTGAGTCACACAGCTGTTGACCATAAACACATAACTGCTGCTGAACATATGATCACTGGATAAGGTGTTTTCATTTCTTTAAATGGGATGAAGGTGATAATTATCATCTAAACTCTAATTTAGAAATAATTTAACTAATGTATCGGTTAGATTGTATTGATGCTGTTTGTATGTGCTAATAAATGGCTATTGTTGATGATGCCAAAGAGTTGTATTACGGTTAAGAGGAGGGAAATCCTAAGAACTTGTTAAATTGTTCTTTTTACATGCAATCTACACGGTATGAGATTATTCAAATAAAAAAAGCTTTTAAACTCCACTCTCAAGTCTGTTTTTTTCCCAAAGCCTTGCACAGTATATACTCATATTTTACAGTAATAGTCAT